TGAAGCACTAATGAAGGTCTTTTAGGGATACTGCCTGATCAAGAACTTGGACAGGACTGTAAAAGTAATCAGAAGTAGAATAGCCACTGTAAAAGCAAGAGTAAAGCATTTGAGTTTTGTGGTCACTGGGTGTGTCTACTTTTTCATTAGTGCGCCATAGTACTGTGCCTTAAGTTTAGTACAGTAAAAGCTCCGTTAACCAACAGCTTACAAGCCAACACGTTCTATTAACCAGCATGCCAGCTTGTAACGTAAAAAGAAACCAGAAGTGCCCACCATGGCACTTCTGGTTTCTCTGAGCCCCCATGGCCTGAGGCAAAGCAGCCTGTGCTGCCAAGCCCCCATGGCCTGAAGCATAGCAGGCTGCACGGGGTCCACCTCCCTGTCCCTCAGGGCCCGTGGGAGGGTCAGCGATCCTGTGGGAGGTGCAGCGACGCCCCGGACATGGTGGGAGAAGCAGCGGCCCGAACAGGCAAGGACGCCTGTTCAGGCCGCTCAGTTAACTGGCATATTTTGTTATCTGGCATCTCCAATTCCCGGGGGGATGTCAGATAACAGAGCTTTTACTGTACTTGGATAACCAAGTACTAATCAATACATAGTATTGGGATTTTTCAGATGCTAACTGTGCAGCGAGTAGTTGAATACTACTGTGAAGTAGCATATTAGCATGCGTCTTGCCCAACATGGTACTGCGCAATGTTATTAGGCTACTGCGCAGGTAGCGTCTTGTAGACGCATTGCAGTGAGATGATTATAAAGTTTTAATAAACAGACTTTGCTCCCGTGTTTTACTTTTCTTGGAGCATTTTCAAATGACAAAGTTATGATAGCTTAGCTACAGTTATTTCTTTCTATATGTCCAAAGGCTTGGAGATTCACAGGGAGACAAAGTTGGCTTCAGTACAGAAACTGGATTAAAAAAAATTAAGACCAATTAATTCAGGTAAAATAGATTTTTGTTTCAACCAACCTATTTAAAATGTGACATTAGGACAACCTGTTTAGCCTAAATTTGCTATAATCTACTAAAGCCACAGACAACAAAACATTCAAGAAATCCATGTTCACTGGCAAAATTTTGAAGTCCAACCACTGGAAGTCACTGGCGAAGCAGCTTGATCTCATTTCTTTCAAAGAACAGCTTTTGAAAGAAGCAACCTCTTCTGCAAGTGCAGAGAATTTATTTATTCTACTAGTTTAGTTCAATGCCTAAGACACTCAAAGTTGAGAAACAATTCATAAATAAACAAAATAGGCTTTCTTGTTTATCTAATCCACAAAGGAAATAAGAGGGGTGAGAAACGTTTATCAGCTATTTTGAAACCCTCAATTTCTTGAAATGAATTATTTTACCAAATGTTTTTGTAAAAAATATATTTATGTTAATGATAAATACTCCTAACCTCTAACCATGCACATCTATCTAAGAATAAGATGTTCTACAGTCCTTCAATTTTCTTATTTTTTAACATTATAATAGGGCTTATTTTACCTTCTGTAACAATCCACTTTGGGTTTCAAAGGCAAATGACACCAAAGCAATAGTATCAAACTTTCTGTAAAACAGGGTATACATATAGATTTCCACCCTTCCCTGCACAGAACAATGCTGTAAGAAATATACCTCTTCAAATCGTTTGCGCTTCCCCGAAGGTTCTGACCCATCACTTTCATTCTCAGAATCCTCCTCTTCCTCCTCATCATCTCTGAAGATATCATCATAGGCAGGAATGTTAAGATCATCATCTGGTTTAACCAACAGCTTAATCTAAGAAGAAAAGCATTTAAAAAAAAAGTCAAACCCAAAAACCCCTTTATATTCGACCAACCTAGCAATATCTATTAGTTGTTCCTCTTAGTATAGAAGACTAATGTATTCACTCTGGATTTGACCTGTTCCTACTAGGACACCAGGATTTTGCTTTATATGAATTAGGTGATCAACCCAAGTGACAAGCTAGAAGATCTACCTTCTGCCCTTATGAATTAATAAAAATTGAAATGTTTATTCTCCTTTATCAATAAGGTTATATTTATAGCACCAATAACATAGCAGAATGTAGATTTTCAGGGAAAAATATGTTTGTTTAATGGAAGCTGTCTAGCACTGTAGTATAAATATCTCAGCATTCATAATTTAAAGTTATATTATTTACAGTCTCCAACTAATATAATCTAGAAGAAGTGAACTTACTGTGCTGTGTTAGACCACCTTTGTTGCAAGGAATAGAAAAATGATAGATCACTTACTGGATACTGTGAGCCAGTTTAAAATGCATATCGTCTTAGACAATTGGATTTACCTGCATGTCATTGTAAACATTCACTACATTGATAGGCCTGTGGGTGTCACAAACAAAGAAAAAGGTGTCCTCCTCAGGCTGCAGAACCTCCAATAGGTCAATGTTGGCACCACAGTTTATAAGAACAAAATACTTGAACTGCAAAAGAAAACAAGGCATCTCCAATTTAATAGGTAACGTGGGAGAATAAAACCAAGAAATTATCAAAACTATTCTACCTCCAAAGTATTTAACTTTGTACACAATTATGTTTCAGGCAGCTTGGTTAAGGAAACTGAGGGGGAAAAAATAAAGGCTGTTTTTATAGACGGATATACTTTTAGTTTTCACTGTACAGACAATGAATGCTCACAATTCTCTCAGTTGAAGACGGATTCAAATTCAGTTTATAAAAATCAAAACTTGTCTTGATCCTTATGATCTAAACCACGCACAGATTGGGGCATTTGCAAGTTTTACTTCAAAAGAAATTCTGTAACTGAAACAGCAGAAGCATTTGCTGAATTTTTGTTAAAGTTTGCTAAATTAGGTGAGACTGTTGCACATGAAAACAGGATATGGGAAATATGCAAAGCATTTGTCCATCATCCACCTAACTTTATTCAGTATCATTTTAGCTAACCACAAAAATATCAACCTAAGATCCTAGAAGTGAACTGGGCATGAAAAAAGGACACTTCAAATTACAGATAAGTAGGAGGCAATGTTAAACACACACACCCATACCCCTCTCATTAGGTGACGTTTTTTTTTACCTGATCTTTATGTTCAAGAAATGCAGTTTCAAGTTCCTGCCACCCAGACACTGGAACTAAAGTGTACTGTACATGGTCACATTGAAACAATGCCTAAAAAGAAGCAAACAAGAAATGTTTAGCTAATGAAGAAAAGTAGTAACAGTTACGGTATTTCTGAAAAATACTCCCATGCAAGATTTTGAATAGGAATTATCATGAAATCCCAGCATCATGAATGGTAGGAGGAAAAAGGGTTAAGCATAAATAAAACGCTGAATGTTTAAAACTAAAGTTAACACTTCCCTCTCACTTTCCTTTCCACACTTCATTAAAATCTTTCCCATATATTTTCCACTGTTAGCAGTATATATAATAAGGACAAACATTCACTTACTTGGAGTATTTTACACGCACATAATGCATCTACATCTGAAGCAATAAGAAGAAGAACACGCTGCAAACCATTAGAAAACAGTATTAATACATGATACTTGATGCGTATCCCAGTCATTTCCAACGACTTCAGTTTCTATACATAAGATTTAAAATCTTTCAAGTCAAACAGGAATCAGGACTCGTGGTAGAGGTGATATCAAACAAGCACATTAACACACAAAGTGGGAATGAGAGCATGAGCTTGTCTAAGGGCTGTAAAAAATAAGGATAGGGGACAACTAATTATTAAAGAGGGACTGGCCAAAGATCATGTGGTCCGCTGCACATTACTGGCTCTTGCTGTTTAATTCAGCCTCTTGGCGCAGGCCAGGGGAAATGCACGCCAGACCATAGGACACACACAAACCGGCATACACATAAGGGTAAAATAATATTTGCATTGACTTGATAACATGTTACTGGAAAAAAAAAAAAAAGGATCTGGCTTGCAATAACCTGCAAACAGGCAAACCCTCCCCGTTTACAAATCTGCAGGGGCCTAACTAGAAAACTCTGATGAATAACACAAACGACCGAAAACAGCTGCTGCTTCTATTACCACGTCCAACTGCGCCGCCAGGAAACCGGCCCCGGGTTAACGGGGGCGCCAGCGAGCACCGCCAGGCACTGCCTCCACGCGGGGCGTTGGGCGGGCCTTGCCACCGGGGTCCCACGAAAGCTGCCGAGACCCCCGCTTCAATTACAGTCACAAGCGCTGACTGCGATAGCCGGACACAGACCGGCATTTCTGGGGTGGGAGAAGGACTCCGCGTGTGCGACGGGGATCGCGCCACGAAGCATTAATCGCGTGACAAGGACTTCACGCGTGGGGCCGGTTTACATCCATCGCGCCATAAATGTAACGTGCAACGGGGCCCGAAGGAGCCCCCGGAAGCGCCCCTCACACACGACCCGTGTCGCTCAGGGAATTAGAGACCCCGGGGCGGGCCCGGCAAGTGGAATCCACCTGGGTGACGATGACCTCATAGAACTCCTTGCGCACGTCCGACAGAAACATGGTCCCGGTGTCGGTGTCGGTGCCGGTGCCGCTACCGGCGCCTGCTCGCCGCACTCAAACCAGGCGCCAAATCACGTCTATCCCTATTGGCCTCCGAGCCTCGGCACCCGCCTCGCAAGCCCGGCCCCCGCAGTACTGATTGGCTCGGCCAGAGTCTCCACCAATTGCCGTGGGCAAAGGTGATCACGTGATAGAGATCTGACCAATCCAACCCGGGGGGCTGGAAGAGCGGCCATTTAGTTTAGCTGTCCCTTGCCCCTTTCGCCATCTTTAGTGTGGGCAGGGCACTGTTCCCTCCTCTTACAAGCCCCCGAGAAAAGCCCAGGGCATTAAAAAAAATAAACAGTCAAGTAGGACCCGAAACGGGAAAAACGAAATCGACGAAACGCTGTTCAGGTCGAGTCGGGCGCTGTTCAGGTCGAGTTGGCCTTCCGCCCTCACCCAAAATGGCGGACACGAAGGCGTTTGTGCCTTTCCAGCCGCGTGGCATTGTGGGAAGTGTAGTGCGGACGGGTGGGGGTTCAAGCATCCAAGGAGTCCCGTGGTTGAAGCTTCGGCGTAGCCGGACCTGCTTGGGCACTTGCTGACACCTCGGCCGCAGGAGCCGGAGCTGCGGCCGCCACGATGGTGAGCG